CAAATACACGTTTATATAGCGAGCCGCTTGCTCCAAGCAGACACCCGCTTGCAGCCGAACCTACTGGTGAACAGACACTGCAGACTTCAGTGAGCCCTTAAAACGAATAAGTCGGAGTGGCCCCACCGAAGCTCCCTCTCTTTCTGCCGTAACCCAAGGCTCCACTCGGATTGGTTACCGCATCTCGCACATGGGTTGCTCACGTTGCCCAGAGTGCGCGAACGAGTACGCAAGAGTCGGGTTTGAGTATAGCCATGCAACTGTAACTGCAAACCCAGCGCAACGACTATACCCCATTTCACTCCGTACGTAATTAGGTTTGCGTAATTAGGTTTGTCACACCCGTCACAGTGACTTAAATTCATATGACTCATTTGGATTAAATTATTTTTGAAAAATTCAATACTTGTTAAAGCAATAACAACGCTTTACTAAACTTGTTAACACAATTAAACTTATAGCTTGCTTATTCGCAACTCACTTCTCTGCTCACTTTACTTGTAGCTTGCTGACTTGTAACTCGTAACTAACTCCAACTCCGCTGTGTCGTGGCTCTTATATACCTGCGCTCGCACTCATGGCAACTCTCGAACGTTTTGAAGTTCATCGCTCATTCTCTTTCTCTCGCTGTTCGCAGTGTTCATCCAACTGACGTTTCTCTTTGTGGAACATTCTACGTCATTTCTCGAACATTCTGCCAATTTCTCGTTGTTCGCTTTGTGTTGCCGCAGTATTCGCCACAGTCAAGGCGCATCAATACAAGGTGGTGTTGATTGATCAGCTGATTGGATATTTTGGTTTCTACACTACACCATTTCCAGTTGGATTTTGGAATGCGTAAATTGGATTATAGAATAGCCAATTGAATTTCAGAAAGCGTAAATTGGAATTTAGAATAGTCCACTGGATTTTAGAAAGCGTCAATTGGATTTTAGAATAGTCAAGTGAATTTTAGAATGGGTTAATTGGATTTTAGAATAATAAAGTGGATTTTAGAAATCGTTAAATGGAGTTTGGAATTGTCCATTGGATTTTAGAAAGCGTCAATTGGATTTTTCATGATTCGTACACTATACATAGATTTTATTCTGATTAATTATAAATATGATTTAAGGATCGCTCAGATATACTTTTTATTAAACTCTAACAATATAATATGTATTAAAGTTAAACAAGAGGTTAGATTTAGGAATTTACGATCTGCATACATATACATATACACAAAAACACGATGCTGCTGGTGTATACAGATGACATTGACATCTCTGGCCTGAAACCCAGAGATGTCAGCGCAGCATTTTGCAGATTAGAAAAAGAAACAAACGTGATTGGCTTACATAGCGGTGAACGAGGATAAGGCAAAGTACCTCCTGGCAACACATAAAAAATCTTAGCGTATTGGGGCATACGTCACTGTTGGCAGTCATAGCTTTGGAATAGTAAAGGACTGTGTGTACCTAGGATCCAGCCATCCAGATAAACACCACCAATAATGTCAGTCTGGAGATAAAGCGAAGAATAACACTTGCCAACAGGTGCTACTTTGAGGTCGGCAATTGAAAAGCAGAGTCCTCTCTCGACGAACGATAATCACGCTCTACAAATCTCACATCATGCCCGTTCTTCTATATGGCACAGAAACATGGACGATGTCTATGTAAAAAAGATGACAAGGCTTTGGATTCCTTTCGAGAGAACTATTATACGCAAGATCTATGGCCCTGTTCTCGTGGCGACGCGTACCGAAGAAGATGGAATGACGAACTGTATGAGCTTTTTAATGACATGGACATAGTTAAGTGCATAAAAATACGATTGCGCTGGCTTAGACATGTTGTACGCAAGGATGACAACTGGCGAAGCTTTTTGGTATCGGCCCAAACCGACAAACGGATGTAGTGCCGAATAAGAAGATCTGGATGAGTGTAATATAAAAGAATGCGGATAACGAACACGTGAACAAATTATTAAACGGACGAATACCGCACATAAAAAACTGATTACTGCAAACTTTATAAAGAAAATTCCAAAATTCACTTTACATTTTCTAAAATCCAATTGACGTTTTCTAAAATCCAATGGACTATTCTAAAATTCAGTTGACGCTTTCTAAAATCCAACTGACCATTCTAAAATTTAATTTACGCTTTCTAAAATCCAGTTGACTATTCTAAAATCCAATTAACGATTTCTAAAATTCAATTGATTATTCCAAAATCCAATTGACTCTTTCTAACGTCCAATTGACCCTTTCTAAAGTCCAACTGGAAATGGTGTAGTACAGGAGAAAGTCATCCAAGAAGAAGTGACGCAACGTTAGGATGTCAACAAAACGAAATGACGAAAATTATCTCCTATTCCCTTTCGTTTTGACATCTTCCTGTACTAAAAAGCAATAACAAAATACAAGGGACTTTTACTTATATGTAATTGCCACCTGGTCAAGGCAACATCGCAAAAAATATAGAAAAAATGTTTTTTCTTAGCAGCGGTCGTCCCTCGGCAGGCAATGGCAAACCCCCATAATGTATTTCTGCCGTGAAAAACAGCTTCTCATAAAAATACAATCGCCGTTCGGAGTCGGCGTAAAACTGTAGGTCCCTCCGCTTTGTATGAGAACATCAAGGCGCACGTCACAAATCGGAGGAGAAGCTCGGCCAAACACTAACATATGTGTAAGCGCCAATCTATTATTATTATTAATTGCCACCACCTTGTATGGATGCGCCTTGGCCACAGTATGTAACTCTGGCATAATTGTAAGTGCTGCCACATATTATTTTGACAAACATATGCTCTTTCGCTCATGATTGTCATTGTACCATGATTTTGTTTCCATTTTTGTAAAGATCCTTACGAAACTTCCAATTGCTTTAAATTGAACTTCTATTTTTGTTTCACATTTACAGTTTTGGTGTCTTAAGACTAAAAAAAAGCACCAAAAAATACACCAAGCACCAAACTCAAAGATTTTCGCGTTTTGAATTAAGAAAAGCACTCAATTTAGTGCGAAAAGCACTGAGTTCGCTACAGTGCCCACGTACAAACATTTCCCTACGATAAAATTTCGCACGCGAGAAAACTGACAGTTCGTATGCAAGCGCCAGAGCGCAGGTATAGACGTGTAGTGAAGGAGCTGGATTTACATGAGACGATTTTCATGGCGATACAACATCGCTTGAGAACTAGCCTGTGGGGCATCCCACAGGGAACAAAAGTTGAACGAGTGCAGTGCAGTTTTCAGTGTGTTTAAATTTTGATATTATGATTTATGGTAATTTCGAATCTTCCAAAAGCTCTTCCACGCTGCAAAATGTGTTTTATATTACACTCAACCCTGCAAAAGAGCATATTTTTACCTTCTTGTCCTTCAAAAGGCGGAGAATGTGCCGTTTTTGCATTACAAGAGTGTGCTATTTTAAGAAACGAACACAAAATTCTCTCACCGTTTGCCTTTATTTTAGAATCGAACGCGGGGAAAGGGGCAATGAAAAGGCGACCATTTTTTGTTAGAAACGAAAACATCGATAAGTAAAAAATTTGTAGTAGTTTTTCCAAATTTTTACTGGATGGCGTTCGATAACGACAAAAAATGATCCAACACACAAAAATTGAGAGAGCAAGCGTTCACTTTGATGCAAGAGAAGCGTTCATTTTGTACTGGCAAATTTTTAGTCAGCAAAAATTATCCAACACGAAAACATATGATCACAAAA